GCAGTGTCTTCCTCAGATGATTCTTCCTGTTTTGGTGGCGCCACAGAAGATGACTTTAACAATGTGTCCTTTGAACTTGCTGTCACGACTGTTGGCAACTGACTGTTGCTGTTGCTGTTGTCATTGCTGCCACTACTACTGCTACTACTGCTGCTAATACCACTGTTACTCATGTTGTTTGCATCATTCTTGACAGTTTTATTGAAAATTTGTTGATTGTTGTCATTGTTGATATTTTCTATTGTTGTACTGGCTGTTGTTGTTGATATATTAGTTGGTGCTTTCAAAGTTGTTGCTGCTGTTATGTTGCGTGCTGATTTCATCGTCGTTGTAGTAACATTAATTTTCTTAAAAGTTGCAGCAACTGCGCCAGCATCATCTGCTTGCATTTGTTGGTTACGTCTTTGATGAAAACGACCACGTTTACGTTCAGGATTACCAGCACCACGTGTACCACGTCGTGTTTCCTTCTCACGTATATCAATAAAATCAGTAGCAAACCTATAAAAAATATATATACTCGAAATTAATAGAATTTTAAATTTGAGCTTATTGAATATTTGCTTAGCATATTGCTTCGAATATAATTTCCTTACTTTCTTTAAAGTCAGTTTTAATCTTAATACATATATACATACATATATACTCGTACATACACCATATACCATAATAATTTATCTGCAAGCGCAAATCTCAACAGCAAATGCCGCAAATTTACCCCACAGGACTTGTTTATTATTTGTTGTTGTGCAATAAATTTACATGTTGGCCATGAATTAGAAATCGTAACATAGCAACAAAACGCCCTTCGAGAATAACCATTAAGCTTAATTGCATTTGCTGCACTTTGTTGTAATTGCATATATCCTGAAGGAATGTTTTTAGTGTTGATAAGATTTACATAAACGCTGTGTTGCGGAGTGTTTCAGGGTGTGTTTGCAACATATTCGAGAGGAGGGTTTGGGAGGGTTCAACTGTTAAATAGCCGGCAGTAAAAAATATGTGACATATGTGTTTTTGTTCAAAAAACAAGGTAAATTAGAGATTTATTTTGGGAATTAAGTCTTTTTAGAATAAGAATTAAATTTATGAAAACAGAGATTTTTTGTGTTTTGTATTGCCAGCAGCTGTTGTTTTAAAAAATTAGTTTTGGTAGTAAACTCTTCTTCATAAAAGGATTATAAAAAGCTTGTAGCTTGTAATAATAAATGCAACTAATTTGTTACAAGTACGAGTACTCATAGTTACTTGGTAAACTATAAAAACATAACTTATTTCTTTGCCTCAAGTCAGAAAAGAACCATTATTGTGAGAATAATGTGCTTCACGTTCATATATGTTAATGCTTCTTTAGTCTTATCGTGTTGTGCACACATTCTAGTTAAAAGGTTAAAAACCCTAATTTGCTTCCTACACTCCATCACATTAACCCTAAATGTAAACAAATCAGCACGACACAATTTGAGTCTTTAGTGAAACATTTGCTGATGTTAAGTTACTTCTGATGTAATATATGAGCATGTTTATGCATTTGCAGCAAACAAACTTATAAAAAATTTCATATAAAAATATACTATAAGTTAGTAAAATAAACAAAAAATAAATAAAATAACAAGGCCTTAAAGCTGTTGTGCGAACATCGTGCCGTTATTATCACCTCCTTGCCTCGTACCCGAGAAACGCTATTAAAACAGTAACATTACACGCATATGCTCGTCGCTGCATACCCGAGGCTTATCTGTCAATAACTTGGCAACATTGTTGAGTTGTGTAAAGTCCTTGTATGCGGAAACAAGGCGCGCCAAAAGTTACACCAATAAAAAGATTACAAAATGTGCAGTAAAGAATATAAAAAAATTTAATCTAAATATTACAGTCCTTTTGTTTGATTGCCACTTGTGAGCTACATTTTCAAACAGAACTGTTAACTTATTTATGTTTATGTTCCGCTGCGTACAATGAAAAGTCTTCTATATGATCTAAATGGTACAGATCTTCACAGACATGTCAACGAAGTTGACACCTGTTTAAAAATATGTGAGAGACAAAGCACTAAAACACTTTGGAAATAAATGTAACCATTCGAAACAAACACTAAAGTAATTAAGTAGCAAGAAATGGTAAGTGAATCGAATTCTTCTCAATTAGCTAAAAAACCGTTTTAATTCCTTGTAATTATGGGCAGAAGGATGGGCTTATCAGAACAAGTCAATGCATTGATAAATGCAAGTATCTGATCAATACCAATATTGGAATATGGCCTGGTTTGTTGAAACATATACTTAATAAGTCTTCCGGTTGCTCCTTTTCGATCATCCATAACCATGCTTTTCAGAAAATTCGGCAGAGCAAGCCGAGTTTGGTTCCATGTCGTTCTATAGTTTACTGCCACGTTAGCACAGATACTAACTTCCGATGCTTCCGATTTATTTATAAACTAGCTAAGAGCTTGTTCTTAACTTAGAATTTAAAGTAAACAAATTTAAAAAGAAGTTATATGTGTAAACACTTAAATTTAAAATTCACTCAACTTTTCCAGCCAGACACTAATAGATTCACTTACAATTGCGAGTAGAAATGCTGATAGACAAAAAAACAAGAGCAACAAAAACGAAAATCAATTCACAAAGTATGTCTCACTATTTGGGTTTATATAGTAAAGATGAAATGATCGGAAAACTTGCTAGAATACAAAACATATAGATCAAGTTCAGCTACAGGAAAAAACTGTTATTGGAGAACAATTGGTTTGCTACTTTAAAAGAGGATTAAGTAGCAAAAATACAACTTTTATAAGATCAAAAAATATATAGACTAGAATGTACTGCGATCTATAATATTTACTATGCTATAGTTGGCAAAAGTACTGTAAGCCAATTGAAAGTTTAAAGCTATTGATAAATTTAATAAAAAGTCTTAGTTCAAGATCCCGACTAAATAGTAACCAAATTCTTTATTTACGATAAGCGCAATTAAAGGAATTAGAGCTATTGTTAAACCTAACAATATCTTTTGATTTAAAATCCCAGTTATATAGTAACTAGATTTTTTCTTTCTTTGTGAGTTTCACAGTAATATATTTTTTATTGACATTACAGAAATGAATAAAAAACAGTCACTAGTTATCTAAACAGTTTTAGTTTGATCAAAATTTATGAATTAAATAAAACTTTAAAAAATTATAAATAGTACTATTTATTAAATTAAGTTAACTTATAAAAAATACATAACAAAGTTATCACTAAGTATTATTATATTTTATTTAAGCCTACACTAGTTTACTATAAATACGTGCTGTGAAGTGAATATATTAATAGCCAAAGAGTTACAAAATATGACTAAATTATTTACCAAAAGATATATGCTTCACATGTCAAAATCTGAACATATAACTTCTTTCAATTGTTTGAAGCAAAATACTCGTAACATGGACTGCAAGTATATTTTTATAACCACTAATAAAACTTGAACCCAATATCATGTACCATACCCGACATGAAAACGAAATTGGACGAAGCTTTGGCTAAGGACAATTAACTATCTATTTTTTTTTTCTAATACAGCAATTAGCAACGATAATTTATTGTTAGCTCTATTATAAGTTGATTATTAGAAAATTCTGTAAAAAAATAAAATAAAATTACAAAAAAAAAATACATATACCAAAGTGAAAGAAATACTGGATTGATGTTCGCGAAAGTACACAAGATGAAGAACTTTAATTGGTAACGAGAATTACACAAACTGACTTTAAGGATTCCTAAGGTATTTCAGTTACCAGTTATCATTACAAAACTAAAGCAATAAATTGTAATTACTTTTATAATCTTTTTAATCAGTTAACTGTAAATAAATGGAGAAGTTGTGCCTTTCAGCGTTGTTCGTATGCTAGCTATTGCGGGTCTTCTAGTCTGTGTATTTACAACGCTAATCTGTGGTATCACAAAGGGCCATTATTTGAGCTCAAGTGGGGTTTGGGCACAAGGCCACCACTTCAACCTAACCTAACCTAGCTGGAAACATACGTAAAAATAATTTTTTTTAAAGAAGAAAAAATTAATTATATCTTTTTGCTTTTATAAAAAAAAAATGAGTTCAAATTAAAGGTTCCAAAAAATGGCTAAAGCTTTTTACATGCAGTGCGGTATTCTTTACTTATTTAAATTCTGTATATTTTATAAAATTCAGTTAATTAACAATTTGTTACTGAAGTGTTGCCAACGTTTAGAGTTTCCAATTACTTAAACTTTTATGCTAAACGCATGTTGTACTCCTACTCTTCTCAAGTTTTCTTAAGTTTCAAAGTGACGAAGGATGGAAGCCAAAAACACTCGTATATTGTATAACAAGTGCATTTAAGGAAATTCGTAAAAAGTTTAAATAAATCAATATTTATCAAAATATTATTATATATTCTGTTAGATAAAAATCCAAAAAAATTTAAAGCTTTACTTAAGTAAGATATTTTGTAACAAAACATTGAACACAAATATCATTGCAAGTCGGTTAATCTGCTTAGTATCTTAAATCGAGAAGCCAGCTTAGAAAGTGTAGGGTGCTTAAAAAAATTACACTTGGTTAACTTTAAACAATCGCTGCAGTGGGTGGAAGAAGAAATAGCAACTGTTGCCACAGTCAGTAAAAAACAGCATTTGGTAAAAGAAACAAAATTATGCCAACAAAAATCTCCAAAACATAAATATATAAAGCACATTGAGCAAATATTTAAGAGCTACTCTTTCAATAGTTTCACAAGAATATATTTTATTCATATTTATGCATATTTTTGCTTATTTTGTTGTTAAAATAATTGGATTTGCTTGATACTTAGATAAATGTTTATATAATATTTTACCAAAGAACCACATAAGTTTGAAAACACATATTGACTTCCAGATAAAAAAACTCATAAGTTAACGAAATTTTTCAAACTATAAAAACTTTGCTTACAGCGCGAAGGGACGGACGTACGAGTACCAAGTAAAACAAATTTTACATCCTTTTTTTTTTTGGTAGTTTCTGTTAAAAAGTTTTCAGTTTTCAAAAGATGCATCTTAGCACAGATGAATGGGGCACTCTTTTAAGTATTCGCCTGAAAAAGTACAATGGCAGTCATAATGTGTGACTGTATGTGTGAGTGAGCAAGTGTTTGACGACAATAAACAACGCCATTTTTCATTTTAACATTTCTGCATAACAGGACAACAGCAATGAAGAGGTAGTTGACAACTACAAGCAACAGAAAATGTTAATGTATGTGCACTTCGAGGCAAATTTGAGTTCTGTTCAGCAACAAAATGTTACTAAAATGCTGCAATAAAACTTTTGTTTTATGTGCTAAATAGAAATGAGAATGGAGAGACGGAACGGGACGGGACGGGACGGTAAACTGTTCTTCACTTGGTAAACAATAAATATAGTAAAAACTTTTTATATAAGTTTTTAGTTTTTTATGTTCGTTGTAAAATGAGTAACAAAACATATGCAAAATTCTTAAAGTT